GGGGGGATAACCAGTCGTTAACCGGCGACGGCTCGTAAGCAGCGTGGGAACGCCGTCGTGGTCGAGAGAGGAGACTACTTTGTCCTGTTTAACTCTACTCCAGTTAGAACCCGTCTCGCTCCGTTTAGCCCTCTATTTGTATTTTTCTTGTTTTGTTGTCAAAATAAAATAAACTTCTTTTATTTTACTCTATCTTTTAATATATCATCTCCAATTTCAAATTTAATTACCTAATTTTTTAATATATTTATTTTATTTTCTGTAATTTTTATTTTATAATATCAATTATAACAACAGAATGTAATTTAGGGAAAATTAATGGGAATGCTCATGTGACTAAAAATATTTACCCGAAAATATCCATTTTAAAAATATTAAAATTTATACCTATTTAGAGAAAAATCCAGTAGGTATGTACCTTATTCACATGTTTTATCAAAGAGTTATGTGAAATCTAGTATCGAAATAATTTTTAACCACGATTCTAACCAGAATATTAGGTTTCAACGACACTGGGATTATCAATTAAAAAGTCATTGTACATCATTAGAAGCGGAGTGAGGATTTCAAGCTTATGGATTCGGGATTCTAATCGTTTTAAGTTATTGGGTTCTAAATTAATAATTTATACATATTCAATGGATTTTTCAAGACAAATACAGGGTTTTAACCAAAGCTACTGGATTCGGCTGAACCCGCCGGCGGCACTCTATCATTGGAATTTCTTTAGTTAAACATACATCTGAATTCTCTTTCTTATTTTAGGGATATGAGCCGAGTTTGATTTTTTTTAAGCTTATTATAGGCCCTTTAATTTCTTTCTTCTCCAATTATATTTGGTAGAGGTTTCGTCCTAATTAGTTTCCCTCCACACTAGTGTTTCTACTCCAATTATATTTGGTAGAGGTTTCGTCCTAATTAGTTTCCCTCCACACTAGTGTTTCTATTTTGATTTTGGAGTACTCCAGTTCCTTTTCCTATTAACTATAAGCGTTCAAGATGTATTATTATAGCTTCCCACCCTCCATTTGTGAATTTATGATTGTTGGTAACATATGTAATGTCATGAGCGGCTTTCCAGCCATGCCCCATAACCTCTTGGACGCGCCTCATGGCGTCCTGGCAAGCCTCTCAACGCCTAGCGTCATGGACGGTCCCGTGGTCTTGGCCACGCCAAGTGACAAGCGCGTCTGTGTCTATGTCGCCCCAACGATAGCCATGACGAGTGCCCAGCCGCAAGCAGATGCCAACAGCGACGCGAGCCGCCGACTCTGATGCTAAAGACAAGGTTGTCGCCAACGGAGCTGCTTCTACCCCGTAGGAATCTAAGTCCTTTTTATTATAAACATAGAGAAGTCTTACTTCCTGTATTTCCATTATGTCTCTCTGGCTTAGATATTTCAAGTCCTGTAACTTTGGTTTATTTTTCTAAGCATTATTTATGGGGATCAAGTAGTCAAATTTTGGTGTCTCTCCCTCTCGACACCGTCTTGCCTTTCTGTAATAACTTTCATTAACGCAATCAAGTTTCCTTTCATTATCATTATCTTTTCTATTTTCTCAATCGTCTTGACATTGGTTTTTCCGTACGGCACTGACAGTCTCGTCTTGCGTACGGAGGGGATCCCAGGACGGACATTAGTTGCTAGCCTTATGTCGCCCTTCCAAGACATCTCAGTAAGGCGTCGCATAACAATAATAATGGACACGAGCTTTTATAATTCGAGAAAAGCCTAATCATATTAACTAAAACAGTGCGACTAACGCTTGATTTGATTGCCATAGGCATCTAATGATGGCTATTTCTCACAAACGCTTACCGAAGTTAATTTTAGAACGACATTTAAAAAATTAAATGAGAAGTCCCCCCAATATTGTTTTCCTATATTGATGTTGAGCTTAAAGTATATATATTTATATGTATATCGCCTCATGTTTTACTTTTGTTTCATGGATTTAGGATGTGAAATGTGTTGATTTATAGTAATTTGAGGTGTTTTTATGTGTAGGAATGATCCGGGAGCAATCGGGGGCGATATGTGCGAAATTAGAGCCAAAACGGACGAAAATAGGAAAGTTGGACATTGCAGCGCCACAGGTGGCGCCTAGCCCTACCTGTGGCGCCAGAAACAGAACATTCAAGTTGGCAGCGTGGAGGGCGCCTGGCGCTAGTGACGGGAATTTTCTCCAATTTCGCCCGGGACAAGGTTATTTCTGCCCTAGACTTACCCAACACGTATAAAAGCAAGGCTAAACATATTTTTGAGAGGAGGACGCCACTTGGGAGAGAGCTAACACACATTGAAAGAGAACTCACGTGACACATACCGCGCTTGGAGAAGGCTTTCAACTAGTTTTTCTTCTCCTCTCTTCTTTTTATTTCATAGTTCATTAGTTCTAGAGTTGTGGGTGCTACATGAACGTTGTAGCTTGAAGCTTGAATTGTTCTTATTGTTTTATCATATTGGTTTATTTATTCAATCTTACGCTTAATTATTTGATTGCTTGATCACCAATTGAATACTATCTACGAATCTAGGATTGAACTCGTAAGAGGGAATTCTAGATTGCATATAAGATTGAGTAGAGCAAGATCTTAACTCTTAGGGTGGGGGGGCGGATTTGCGGTTAGGATAGGAATATACCTAATCGCCTTGCTTGGTTATTATACGGGAATTATAAATGCGTTCTTGTTAATCTTAATTCCATAGGAATATAGGCGTTATGTTAGCTTAAATAGGCGAGTCGTACTTCTGGAGAAGGCTACGAGCAATATTAACCCCGTCTATCAATAAACCAGATAAATTAATTAGACGATTTAAGTGGGAATCTCAACGGGATTCTTAGCTAATCCATAGCTCTAGAATATTCACTCATATTGAATTCGTCTCTATAATTCGCCAACTTTTTTCTTTAATCTCTTAAGTTGTTTCTCAAGATTAATTTTAGTTAAATATTCATACGTTAGGGTTCGCTTGAATAGATTAATTGTTTGGTTTAATTTAGTTGATAGTTAATCACAAGTCCCTGTGGGTACGATATCTGGACTTACAATCCTATATTACTTGTCGACCACGTATACTTGTGTGTGCGTTTGGGAGCAACAAGTTTTTGGCGCCGTTGTCGGGGACTTAGAAATTAACTATTTAACTAGATTGGATTTTTACTTTTTACCTATTCAAGTTATTATTTTTTTATTTTTAACTTAGTTTAATATTTTATTATCTTTGTTGACATGGCATCTTGGAATGATAATTGGTCGAATATTGGTTATTCTTATAGTGGTGATCCTTGTCCATATTGTGGAGGACCACGCTTAGGGCAAAATTGTGCATCTCAATCTGATGTGTGAAATTTTTGTAATGTGTGTGGTTGTCAAGGTGGTCATTGGGATGGTTGTCCTAATTCTTATTATCCTTCTCAGAACTCTTATTATGATGTTTCTAATAATATTTATGAGTTTGATAGGAGCAATGAAATTGAGGATGAGGAACATGTTGCCCGTATTATGGAGATGATGAGGCAAGTAGCCGAGCAACAAGATGAAAATCGAAAGGCTATATAAAGAATTAGTGCAGCAATCATGATAATGAAGGCCGAGGCGGAGGAAGTGGCTGAAGAGAGCGAGTTCCCACCAGAAGATAATTTAGAAGAAGCAAATATAGTGAGCCAATCTTGGCTAGAGGAACAAGCTCAACTGATAAATCTCATGAGTTTCTACGTGATGGTCTTTCAAATATGACAGAACAGCTAATAGACGAAAGAACTGAGCTCAGGAAAGAGATAGACCAATTTGGCTCAGATATCCATGACCTGCGGACTAAATTAAATAAAAAGGTTGAGGCGTCTGATGCCCTACAACCAATTGTTGTGGATACTGGCCACCGTGTAGAGCAGAACGACGAATTTCAACTATTCGACCAAAATAATATTAATGATGCCGAGGTTAAGAAAGAGTGCAAAATTAAGGATATCAAAAATAATGCAATTCTGGAGTTGGAGCATATTGGACCTCATTCTAACCATTTTTCAACATTGTGCTTGGTTGGTGATACGAGAATTGATCCATTTGAGCATATGGAGGAGTCAATGGATGAGGAACAAAAGTGTTTATATTCTGAAATTTGCCACACCAAGGAGACAAAACGACATTCCTCACTTAAAGGCCAAGAAGTGCAAGTTGCGATACCTATTACTTGGTTCCTTTATTTTACACCACCGCCCCAGGAACGTGACACAAAAAGTTGAAGCAAAATTGAGGGCGCAATTCATATCCTCAAAGTGGAAAAAAAGTGGTGAAAGTGATGGCGTCGTGCCATGACGTTAAATTAGGCGCTTGTTGGGAGGCAACGCAGCTTTATTGCTTTCTTTTAGTTTTTTTTCTTTTCTTATTATATTATTTTTGTAGTGTTTGTTTTTATTTTGTAGGATTATAAGCATAAGAAGCTAAGCTATTGGAAGAGTGCAAAGCGAGCTAGATGGTGAGGACTAAGTGTGGGGTGCTCACACAAAAGACCATGCTTGGGGGAAGTCTGAGTACCTCGTGAGCTGCTATTGCTTCGGCCTTTGGCCTTTCAGGGAGTTTCTTGTCCAGCCCTGTTATGTTGCTTTATTTGTGCATTGGGGACACTGCACTCTTTTAAGTGTAGAGTGGGAGAATTTCTCTATATAATTAGTAGTAGTATGTTAGAAAAATGCTAACTTCTTATTTTTGTTTTTGTAGTTGTGTAGTGTTTTAGTAGCTATGAAAAAAAATAAAAATAAAAAGTAGAAAAATTGATTTTTTTTCCCGACGATGGATCTCCTAAACAGTTTTCTTGAGGGATTAAAGTCTAAACAAAAATCCAAAAATATGTCTTTTAGCTTTCTTTAGGTAGTAATAATCCCCTATGGTTTTTCTTTGTGCATCGGTTCTTTTTCATGGGATGTAGTTTGAACCGAGTAGTAGTTTTTTTTTATTTTTTAGAGTAGATTAGAACT